ATAATAAAACCTCCTACATGTTAGGAAAACAGAGGAGAAAGGAAGGAAACAGGCCAGACTCGATCTTCTCCAGGCAAGGACTTTATTGAAGAATAGCAAGGGGCAGCAACTTTCCCATGGGATCTGAGGTTGTACAAGGAGGTGGGGTTGGAGTTAGGCTTTTGTGGGGTCTGAGCATGAAGACAGAGGTTTCTTGAGTTCAGTATAGGAGAGTTGACTGCAGGTGCAGGCAGAGAATAGGGTTAATGATAATTGACTCCTTTATCCAAGGTCTCCAGCTTTTTAATGTTCAAACAGCTCTATATGTGTCTTGCCTTGACAGTTTGACCTTCTCAGAGTCTAGTTCTCAGCCATCTGTTCAATCTGTTAACCCTTTCCTGGTCTCAGCTCAGCCTCAGAGTTCCCTACAGGTTAGGCCCATAATTGAATGTTTACAGCCAGACTTAGGTCGGATTGCCCTACTCTCGTCAAGCACATCCATGCAAACCCAGGGTTCTGCCTCACATCTGTATGCACCTGGGATAAAAGGGTTGGGGGGGGCAATCCTTCATATTCCATCTTTAGATATATAAAAAGATTGGGCCGAAAGGGGAGAAGTAAGTCCTTCACTACTCACCATCCAGCTTCAATGCCTAACTCACCCAATAGGGCAAGGTAAAGACGAGAGGGGGAATAAAAGGAGCCAGGTGAGAAGCATTAACCAGCAGAGAAGGAGAAAGCTAGGGACTCATGGAGAACAAGGGAGGTAGCCTGCCTCAGAGCTGGGCAGGGCTGATAATTGACTTTTGGTTCAGCAATGCCACGGTCATCAGTGGTCTTGTTAAGACAGGTTTTGACCCAGGAGAATGGTGGGGCTGAGGGATGGCAGCTAAGAAAGGAGGGAAGACCTGGGTGGCTCATGCTTGTGTAATCCTAGCTACTTAGAAATGTTAGGTCCAGGGGCTGGGAAGGTGGCTCAGTGGCAGAGCGCTTGTCTTGCATGCCTGAGGCCCTGGGTTTGATTCCTCAGCACCACATAAGCAAAAAGAAAAAAAGCTGGAAGTGGCGCTGTAGCTCAAGTGGTAGAGCGCTAGCCTTGAGCTGAAGAGCTGAGGGACTATGCCCAGGCCCAGAGTTCAGGCCCCATGGCCGGATCCCTCCCCCCCAAAAAAAAGAAATGTTAGGTCCACCCAGGAAAAATGGCCCCTTCCCTTCCCTAGAAGTCACTGCCCAGCATTTGTATCCCAGGTAACTGGTGCACCTGGGAGCAGTAGAAGGTTCCCCAGGCTCTAATATCTTTGCCATCCAGCCACACACACACCCCTTCCTATATATCAGTCTCTATCATAAGTCCCGCCCCTTTTCCCTTTGCCTCTTGCCACCTTTCCCTTCCCTTTGCTCCTTGCCCCCTTGCCCACTTTCCCTTCCCCTACAGCCCTTGCACCTCCATCTTGTGCAGGCTGGCAATATGCTTCCTCCCCTCTCCCCCCAATAAACTGTTTTCTGCCTGAACCATGTGGTGGTCTCCTTTTGCTGAATCTTTCAAGGACACTGAGACCTAAGGATCATGGATCAAAAAGCCAGCCCAGGCAGAAAAGTCTGAGAGACTCTTATCTCCAACTAACCAATAAAAAGGCAGAAGTGAGCTGAGTGACAGTGGCTCATGCCTGGAATCCTAGCTACTCAGGAAGCTGAGATCTGATTGAAGCCAGCCAGGGCAGGAAAGTCTATCAGACTCTAATTAGTCACCAAAATGGAGCTGTGGCTCAAGTGGTCCAGCATTAGCCTTGAGCAAAAACAGTTCAGGGACAGCACCCAGGTCCTAAATTCAAGACCAGGACACAGACACACACACTCCAGAAATGGGGATATGGCTACAAGTGGTAGAACACCAGCCTTGAGCTAAGCAAAGTAAGCAAGAGCCAGAGACCCTGAGTTTAGAACACCGGTGCCGGCTCACACACATGAGAAAGAAGGAACTAGGAGGGCAAAATTGTTCACCATTTCCAAGGGTTCTGAAAGCAAATGGAGCAAAGTAATGTGGAAAAGTTCCATTGATGAGGGGGTGCAGTTAAGGGGTAAGGCCAAAAAGTTATGTTCCAAAGTGCTGGTGGCCCTCATCATATGGTTCAGGTGGTAGATTGGCATCTTTGAGCAAAAAAGCCAAGGAAGAACATGAGGCCTTGACTTCAAGCCCCAGTACTGGCAAAGAAAAGAAAAATCAGGCTGAGACCGCAGGGCAGCTAGGGTCCTATGGGTGTCAGCCTGGCATGGTGGGTTCTGGCATCACTGTCTTCTCCAAAAGCAGAACTGACCATCCCTCAGGGAGAGGCTGAGGGGACACAGTGGCCGGAGGTCAATAAGCCTAGAGTTAATCATTCACCAGGGGTACACTGGGATCCCATTGGCTGCCTGGGACACAGCCCTCTGGGATGATACCCAAAAGGATTGGACACAGCTTCCAAACTAGTGTCTGGCCCACAGCCGATTGGGAGGACTCCCACAGGATGAGTGGGCACTCAGGATGCCCCCAGTCTGAGGAGGGAAACAGCAGCCCTGGGGAGCTCCAGTCTAAGACAAAGAAGTTTGACTGAGGGAGAATTCTAAGGGCACTTTGATGGGCTGGAATGGAGAGCCTGGAAGGGAAACCCATTTGTAGTTGGGTGCCCTGCGGGTGAGGAGGGGCTGTGAAGGGAAAACTTTTAGGTCAGAGGAAGGGAAAGGGGCTAGGCCCCCTCTGGGGATTCTGGGAAGTAAAAGTGGGAGGGGCTGGCAGTGAGGAGGGAAGATCTAGAGGCACTGGAGGCCCCCAGGGAGGAGAAGCAGACCCTCCCTGCCTAATGAATAGAAATGTCAATACAGAGGTCCCTAGGGTAGCCTCCCCTCCCCTGCCCTCTGATCTCCTGCCTGTGGCAGTAGGGAAAGCTGTGGGAGTCTTCCTGGAAGCCGTCTGCACACCCACTTAGCACCCTCGAGATTGCTTTTCTGGTGCTGGAGTTGGAACCTGGGGTCTTTCTCCTGCAAAGCACCTGCTTTCCCACGCAGCCACCTGCAGCCCTTAGAATACTCAGGACGGTGGTGGCCCAGGCCACTGCTCCTATTTAGGCAAAAGTCCTGAGTCCCAGCCTGCAGAGCGCAAAACCACACTAAGAAAAGCCCAGAAATGGAACCTAGGGTCTGACCATGACAGTGACAAGCTGTGTGGCCTTGGACAGATCATGTCCCCTATACAACGTCCAACATCAGATATCCTATCTCCTCCTCTTTCACAGGGAGTGGGACTGGGCCTTGTGCACCTATATGTAGGAATAGGATGGTGTAACAGAGCCCACAGGTGCTTTCATGCAGCACTTGGGCCCTGTGGCAGGTGACACTGACTCACTTCCTGTGAGAGCTAACACCCTCCAATTCTTTCCAAACCCTACAGCCTGGATCTGAGTAAGATCTAGTTTGCTTCAAAGGCCAGCATACCTGCTTGCGAGCAGAATGGCCCTCATCTGTAAACTAACTGAGGATGATAAAACAGGAATGAGAGAAGTCAGGCTTTGGGGAAGGGTTTTCCACAGTGACTGGCATTCTGCATGTAAGGAAACTGAGTCAGGAGGGTATGAGGGGGAAGCCAGAGTCTTCCACCCAGACTGGAGAGAAGATGGCCAGACAATCTTACCACTGATCAAGGGGGCGGGGGGGGGGGGGGGGGGGGGGGGGGGTAGAGGGAGGGGGAAGGGAGAGAGAGGGAGTCAGTGAAGTCAGGCAGGGCAAGGGTCTAAGGAAGTTTGTCTTAGGAGGAGGGGCAGGATGGGAACACCAAAGCGACTCAGAGCCCAGATTGAATCTTATCTTGACTTACAGGGAAGCATCAGCTTTTAGCAGACTAGTCAACAAACAGTAGGGCCCACTATTCACAGGCTATCTCTTAACAGCCACAGGGTATGTTTAGTGAGGGGGGGAGGGGAAGAGAGATGATCTAATGAGGCCTGCGGCAAAGGGCAGTTTTATGGCTCAGAGGGAAAGGCCAGTGTTTTTAGTTTAAGTCATTTTCCATCACTGCGTGAAAGACCTTCCACAGGCCTCCTATCTAGCTGGAATTTAATAACATTGGTGTTCTCTCCCTTTATGGCTAAGGCTGTCTCCAGTTTCTGACACTGCCCTCCCAGTCGAAGTCTAGACATGAATAGATGTTAAATTCGCATAGTTTAAAGAAAGGAGTTCCAGCCGGGCGTTGGTGGCTCATGCCAGTAATCCTAGCTACTCAGGAAGCTGAGATCTGAGGACTGATCATGGTTCAAAGCCAGCCTGGGCAGGAAAGTCCGTGACACTATCTCCAGTTAACCACCAGAAAACCGGAGGTGGCGCTGTGGCTCAAGTGGTAGAGCGCTTGCCTTGAGCTGAAGAGCTGGGACAGTGCGCAGGCCCAGAGTTCAAGCCCCACAACCGACGTAAAAAAAGAAAGGAGTAGCCGGGCGCTGGTGGCTCACGCCTGTAATCCTAGCTACTCAGGAGGCCGAGATCTGAGGATCGCGGTTCAAAGCCAGCCCGGGCAGGAGAGACCGTGAGACTCTTATCTCCAATAAACCACCAGAAAACCGGAAGTGGCGCTGTAGCTCAAGTGGTAGAGCGCTCGCCTTGAGCTGAAGAGCTGAGGGACAGCGCCCAGGCCCAGAGTTCAAGTCCCACGACCGACAAAAAAAAAAAGAAAGGAGTTCCAGGGGTGGCCCTTTAATTTTGCCAGGGGCTCACATCCTCTACCCAGCCTAATCGTTCTGTCTTTCTCTCCCAGCATCTGCTCTCTCTCCCTTCTCAAAACTCGGCTGACTTCCAGACCTCTCCTAGGCCCCTGGGCCCTAGGCCCTGGAAGGCGCCTTGGCAGCAGATTAAAGAGCTCGCTCCCCTCTTTATCTTGGCCTTGCTGTAAATCTCGTCTGGCCAACCCCCCTCCAGAGGCGGGGTTCCTGGAGGCCCCGCCCCCTGACCCATGGACTGACCCTCTCCAAATGCACCCAGAAGCAATTCCGGAGCCCAGGTCCTGACCCGCCTGATCCAGCCCCACCCAGAGACCTGCCAAGAGCCCCTCAGTGCTGAGTGTTCTAGACAGACTTCCACCCGTGGGAGGGGGGGGGGGAGGAGGGTTGGCTGTCGTCATGGCGACGGCGTGGGTAGCCGCGACCCTGCGGACCGGAGCTGCGGGTGTGAGGCTCCGGGGCACCCGGAGGCTGAGTGGTAGCACGGGGCGGCGGGCGGCTGCGAGCGGCAGCCCGGGACGCCGGCTCAGCACCGCTTGGGCGAGGGCCCAGCCCCCGAGGGAGGAGGCGGAGGGCACGGAAAACAGCGCCCAGTCGCCGGCCACCGGACAGCCATCCTGGACGCCGCCTCCTCCGCCCCCCGAAAGCCCGGCGCCCCCAGCGGGCCGCTCGCTGGTGCAGCGGGACATCCAGGCCTTCCTGAACCAGTGCGGGGCCAGCCCAGGGGAGGCACGGCACTGGCTCACGCAGTTCCAGACCTGCCAGTACTCCGCGGACAAGCCCTTCGCGGTCATCGAGGTGAGCAGCCACGGCCACAGGACGGGGGTGGGCACTGCCGGACAGGCTGCGGACCCGGGGACGGGAGCACGAGGGCGCTGGCCGGGCCTGGGAGGCCGTGCGCTGTTCCTGACACTTGGCGCCCAACGCTGGATGCCGGGAGCCAGCCTCCGGGGGTGATGCCTGGAAAAGCCCCCTCTCCGTGGGCGCAGGCAGGGTTTCAGATGGCAGAGCCGCCGCCGCATCCCCTCCCCACCCCACCCCCAGGGTGTCCTAGAGTCCAAGGTCTCCGGGAGGAGGCAGGATCGCAGGTATGAGATAAGGGGGTGGCAAGACCCGACGGTCAAAGGGCGAAGCAGACCGGTGCAGGTAGCCAGGAGTGGGGTCTGCCAGGAGAGCATGGGGCCCTCACCCTGAGGGTCCCAAGAACCAGACTGTGGGAGCTTGTGGCTCAGTGCCAGTGCTGCTCCCCCCCCCACACACACACCCCCCCGGAACGCGCACTCCTCCATTCCACAGGTGGACGAGGAGGTGCTCAGGTGCCCGCAAGCGGTATCCAGCCTCGCCTTCGCCCTGGCCTTCCTGCAGCGCATGGACATGAAGCCACTGGTGGTCCTAGGGCTGCCGGCCCCCACGGCACCCTCAGGATGCCTTTCCTTCTGGGAGGCCAAAACACAGCTTGCCCAGAGCTGCAAGGTGTTGGTGGACGAGTTGCGGCATAACGCAGCCACTGCCGTGCCATTTTTTGGCGGCGGTTCGGTGCTGAGCGCGGCGGAGCCCGCCCCCCATGCCAGGTTAGTGCGGGCCCCCGCCCGTCCCTGACTCCGCTGGGCGGGTTACTTTGCTCGTCCCGCCCGGAGGGGACTTCTCGAGCACCGCGTCTGGCCCACAGCTATGGCGGCATCGTCTCGGTGGAGACGGACCTGCTGCAGTGGTGCCTGGAGTCCAACAGCATCCCTATCCTGTGCCCCATTGGGGAGACGTCCGCGCGCCGATCTGTGCTCCTCGATTCGCTGGAGGTGACCGCGTCGCTGGCCAAGGCGCTGCAGCCCACCAAAATCATCTTCCTCAATAACTCAGGCGGCCTGCGCAACACCAGCCAGAAGGTGCGCCCCTCCTCCAGCGCCCATCCCCTCCCAGTGAGCCTAGGCGGGGCTGAGGCTCCCACGCGCCCTCAGTGGGCTTCAAACCAGGTGGGAGTATCAGAGAGGGGTTTGGCCCCTGAGGCTCGGATCCAACCACTTCCTGGCCTACAACTCTAGGAAAAAGTAGGGCAAAGGAGGAAAGGTCTTTGGGGGCCGCAGTGCTGTCTGGGGGTGGGGAAGCTTCGTAGCCGGGTCGTGGGCCGGAGGCTCATCTTGCCCCGACGCAGGTCCTGAGCAGCGTGAACCTGCCTGCCGACTTAGATCTGGTGACTACCGCGGAGTGGTTGAGCACCAAGGAGCGGCAGCAGATACGGCTCATCGTGGATGTGCTCAGCCGCCTGCCCCACTACTGCTCTGCGGTCATCACCGCCGCCAGCACGCTGCTCACCGAGCTCTTCAGCAACCGGGGTGAGCGCCACGGGAGGGCGGGGCGGGCCCTATCCTGGAGTGAGCCCGCGGAACAGGCCGTACATGAGCAGGAGCCGTGGTTTCCAGGCCAGCCCGGAGAACACAGGGGGAGGCCACAGTAGTGGCTTCCAGCCCGGCCGAAACTAGGGGAGGTGAGAAAGGCAGAGACCCATTGGTGATGCAACCCGGATGAGACCTGGACCTTGGGCGGACTGAAGCCTGAAGGGCTGGGCTTGAGTGGAGGAATGGTTGGTGGGCGGAACACAGGGGGAGGGACTTAGGGGAGCCGGGACTGGAGAGGAAGCGGGGGGGGGGGGGGGGGGGGGGGCGGTAGAGATAACAAAATTTAGGGAGAGAAGCCGGACTATGGAAAACAGGAAGGACTACTGGTGATGGATAGAACTTGGAAGACAAAACCTGCCTGGGAAAATCTCTGCAGACCACACCAATCATTTCACTGGGGTCCCCCAAGGGATATTGTCCCAACCATCGTCTACAGCCCAAAACAGGCCACACCCTGAAAGGGATGGGCACTAGGCCAATCTAAGGCCCTCTCTACTTTTCGCCCCAGGCTCCGGCACCCTGTTCAAAAATGCCGAGAGAATGCTGCGAGTGTTTAACTTGCACCACCTGGACCAGGACCGCCTAGTGAATCTAGTCAACACCAGCTTTGGCAAGAAGCTCCGGGACGACTACCTAGACTCGCTGCGCCCGCGACTGCACTCCATCTATGTCTCCGAGGGGTGAGCATGGGGGCCCTAGGGTGCAGGGACCAAACTGGGCAGCTTTAGGCCGGCCAAGGAAGCTGTTCCAGCCTGCCTCTCCCACTTCACCAGGTACAATGCCGCCGCCATTCTGACAGTAGAACCAGTACTGGGGGGCACCCCGTACCTCGACAAATTCGTGGTGGGCTCCAGCCGCCAGGGCCAAGGCTCTGGTCAGATGCTATGGGAGTGCCTGCGGCAGGACCTGCAAACTCTGTTCTGGCGCTCCAGAGTCACTAACCCCATCAATCCCTGGTAAGTCCCACCCTCCTCAGCCAAGCCGAGGTTCATTAGCCAGTTTTCTGGTTTTCTCAGTGGTTAACTGGATATAAGAGTCTTAAGATGGGCTGGGAAGGTGGCTCAGTGGTAGAGCGCTTGCCTTGCATATATGAGGCCCTGGGTTCAATTCCTCAGCACCACATAAGCAAAAAGAAAAAAGCCAGAAGTGGCACTGTGGCTCAAGTGGTAGAGTGCTAGCCTTGAGCTGAAGAGCTGAGGGACAGCACCCAGGCGCAAAGTTCAGGCCCCACAACCGTGCCCTTCCCCCCAAAAAAAGAGTCTCAAGAGCCGGGTGCCCATGGCTCATGCCTGTGGCTCACACTTGTAATGCTAGCTACTCAGGAGGCTGAGATCTGAGGATCGTGAATCAAAGCCAGCCCAGGCAGGAAAGTCGGTGAGACTATCTCCAATAAACCATTAGAAAAACGGAAGTGGCGCTGTGGCTCAAGCAGTAGAGTGCTCACTTTGAGCTGAAGAGCTGAGGAACAGCGTTCAAGCCCCATGACCAATCGGAAAAAAAAAAAAAATCTCATGGACGGACTTTCCTCCTCAAGCTGGCCTTAAACCTTGATCCTCAGATCTCAGCCTTCTGAGTAGCTGGGATTACAGGCGTGAGCCACTGTAGGCCTGGGTACTGTCCCTGAGCTCTTCAGCTGTAGACTAGCACTCTACCAATTGAGCCTCAGCCCCACTTCCAGCTTTTTCTGCTTATGTGGTGCTGAGGAATCAAACCCAGGGCCTCATGCATACAAAACAAGCACTCTACCACTGAGCCACCTTCCCAGCCCCCCTACATAATATTCTTAAGGACAGAAGTTGTGAATAGTGAACACTAGCCTTGCCCTAAAACCTGTCCTTTGCCTCCCCCCATCCAGGTACTTCAAGCACAGTGATGGCAGCTTCTCCAACAAACAGTGGATCTTCTTCTGGTTTGGGCTGGCTGATATCCGGGACTCTTATGAACTTGTTAACCATGCCAAGGGGCTGCCAGATTCCTTCTGCAAGCCAGCTTCTGACCCAGGCAGCTGACCCATGCTATGGGCCCTGCAGGCCCTGGGACAGCCAGGGTAGACCAGAAGCCATGCCTGCTGGGGGTGATCCCAGGCTGTTACAGGATGAATGGGGCTTGTTAGCTGAGTGGCCTACAGAGAAAGCAGCCCCTGCTCTGCCTAAGTGGGAGAAGCACAAAGAGGGGAGCCAGCCTAAGACCCAGACTTGCTCCAAAGCCGCAACCAGGTGGCCTATTTTCAGCCTGAGGATGGGGGCAGAGGCTTTAAGGGCTCTGCTCAGGGCTAACTGGAGGGGTGGACCAGTTTCTCTGTACTACATTTTGAGGCTCCTTTGCCCAAAATAGCACCTACATACACACCTGCCTGGTCTTCTAATTCTTTTGGGACTTACGATTTTTCAGGAGTCTTGATTAAAATGCTAGTACTTGCCAGGTGCCAGTGGCTCACACCTGTAATCCTAGCTACTCAGGAGGCTTAGATCTGAGGATCAAAGCCAGCCCAAGCAGAAAAAGCTGGAAGTGGCGCTGTGGCGCAAGTGGTAGTGTGCCAGCCCTAAGCAAAAGCACAGGGACAGTGCCCAGGACCTGCGTCCAAGCCCCAGGCCAAACATATATATATGCATGCTAATACTTGTCTGAATCAGCTCACACTTAAAAGGAGCACAAAGAGGCTCAAGGACAGTGCCCAGGCCCTGTGTTCAAGCCCTATACCAGAGGGGGAAAAAAAAAGGTGTTCCAAGTGGTTAAGGAAAGACAAACTATAAGATATAAGTAGAACTGAGGAGGATGGGAAGGTGGCTCAGTGGTAGAGCGCTTGCCTTGCATGCATGAGGCTCTGGGTTTGATTCCTCAGCACCACATAAACAAAAAGAAAAAAGCCGGAAGTGGCACTGTGGCTCAAATGGTAGAGCGCTAGCCTTGAGCTGAAGAGCTGAGGGACAGTGCGCAGGCCCAGAGTTCAGGCCCCACAACCGGACCCAAAAAAAAAAAGAACTGAGGGACGAGTCAAAAGCATAAATGAATAGTGGCATAATATCATGCATCTGTAATCCCAGCACTACAGAAGGCAGTAGAGTTGTAAATTGGAAATCAGCCTGGGCTACATAGCAAGACCCTCAAAATAAAATCCCAAATATATAAAGGACAGTAAGGATTTTGACCTTTTGAAAGTTGGTTATTTTGAAGTTCTAGAGATTGAATCCAAGGCCTGGAGCATGGTAGACAAGTGTTTTACCACTGAGGTACATCTATAGACCAGGTTTTTATGTGCCAGTCACAGGGCTTGAACTCAGCCTGAGCTTTTATGCTCAGGGCTATGCTCTACCACTTGAGCCATGGCTCAATTTCCAGCTTTTCTGGTGCTTAACTAGAGATGAGTCTCACAGACTTTCCTGCCTGGGTTGGCTTCAAATCCTGATCTTCAGATCTTAGCCTTCTGACTAGGATTGCACGTATGAGCCCGACACCCAGCCAGAGAGCCAAAGAACTACAGGAACTCTCAGAACAGGGAAATAATTATGGGAGAATCAAGGTCCTCTCACAGTTAAATCCCAACCAGATAGCTAGCAAGAAAGCCAAGAGTGGGGCTGGGAAGGTGGCTCAGTGGTAGAGTGCCTGCTTAGCAAGCATGAAGCCCTGAATTCAATCTCAATACAAAATAAAAGCAAGGCAAAATCAATCCAAGGCTGTGGTAATGCATCCCATGGAAAAAACAGCAACAAAGCCAAATGTGGATAGAAAAAGTTTATTTTGGAGGACTGTGTGTCTGGTGTTTGGGTAGGTACTCACACCTCACCAGGCCAACCATATAGCTGCAGAGATGATGGCAGCAGGTGGGACATTGGCCACTGCCTGCTTCACCCTGCCCATCCCAGAGCAGACTACGGTTGCTGTGCTCTCAAGGTGGGCGATAAAACTGGTACCGTTTGCTCTGGCATAACCTGAGAATCCAAGTAACCTCTACAGTGCTAAGTTCCACTGCTCCTCAAAAGGGGGACCTGATCCATGTGTCAACACACATACCCTCATGCTATCTCTGAAAAACATCACAGAGCTTAGCTGTATCTGCCATGTTCTTTTTTTTGTTTCTTTTTTGGTACTGGAGATCAAACCCAGGACATTGCACTTGCTAGGCAACCATTTTGCCACTGAGCTACATTCCAGCCTATTCTGTCATGTTCTTTAAAAGGGACTTTATACATTTGTTCACTTGCAAATCTTTCTCTGTCTCCCACTGCCAGTAGTTGGCATCCCAACTCAGCCTTACTTCCTTCTTAGGGACTCTTTCCCCCAAGATACTCAGAGAGCAACTGACTTCAACTCTCCTCTGAACAAACAGAAAGAAAGAGAGAAAGAAAAAGAAAGGAAGGCCGGGCGCCAGTGACTCAGATCTTTAATCCTAGCTACTCAGGAGGCTGAGATCTGAGGATTGCAGTTCAAAGCCAGCCCGGGCAGGAAAGTCCCTGAGACTCTTATCTCCAATAAACCACTCGAAAATCAGAAGTGGCACTGTGGCTCAAGCGGTAGAGCGCTCACCTTGAGCTGAAGAGTGCAGGGACAGCGCCCAGGCCCAGAGTTCAAGCCCCACAACCGACCAAAAAAAAAAGAAAGGAAGGAAGGAAGAAAGAACTGTGAAATATTAGCATTAGAGCTCCTACTCTCCCATAGGCCCAGCCAGGAGTTAGGAAGACTTGCCTATTTAAAAAAAAAGTAAGCCAGGTGCTGGTGGCTCACACCTATAATCCTAGCTACTCAGGAAGCTGAGATTTGAAGATTGAGGTTCAAAGCCAACCTGGGCAGGAAAGTCCGTGAAACTCATCTCCAATAAACCACCAGAAAACCGGAAGTGGCTCTGTAGCTCAAGTGGTAGTGTGCTAGCCTTGAGCTGAAGAGCTGAGGGACAGTGCTCAGGCCCAGAGTTCAAGCCCGACGACCAACAAAAAAAAAAAAGTATCAAGCACTAAGAAGCATAAATAGGGCTGGGAAGGTGGCTCAGTGGTAGAGCACTTGCCTTGCAATGCATGAGGCCCTGGGTTCGATTCCCCAGCACCACATAAGCAAAAAAGAAAAAAGCCGGAAGTGGCGCTGTGGCTCAAGTGGTAGAGCGCTAGCCTTGAGCTGAAGAGCTGAGGGACAGCACCCAAGCCCAGAGTTCAGGCCCCACAACCGGACCCAAAAAAAAAAATAAAAAAAAAAAAAAAAAAAAAAAAAAAAAAGAAGCATAAATAAACAGCACTGGGTCAGCAAGGTGGAACGCAGGGTGGTCCTCAATGGCTTCCTGTGTCTATCTCAGCATCTCACTGTGAAACTCAGCCATCAGTAGCCAAGATGACAGCAGCCCCAAAGATGCCCACGCTCTCACCGAGGAGCTTCATCTGGTTCCAGAATTCAACACGCCGTGAGTTGTGCCAGTAGGCCACATTGCCATCAATGAGGAGCATGACAGGGGGCAGCAGGACAGCCAGGATCTGAGCAGCCAGGGTCACATAGTAGCCTGATAGGAAGGCCAGGGCCAGGACACCATACAGCACAAAGAACAGCTGGATCATCAGCTCCCCCCCTGGAAGGTGGTTCAGATATGCCAGCCGGTCCTCCTTGCTGTGCTGCAGTGAGTAGGCCTGGGGAAACATCATCCTTTAAGCCTCTCCAGCAGGCTGTGATGCCCATGTGGGGAAGGCACCATGTAAGTCAGACCTTGCTAAGTGGGCTTCTGAGTAGCCTCTAAGAATGGGGACTCTAAAAGTAAGGCTGACTGTAAGGCCCCAAGAGGCTATGCTGTATCTCCATTCCCCTGGGGCTCCTACCTCTGAATATTCCAAGGAAGCCTACACAGAACTCTGCACATGGTATATGAACCTGGTTATTAAGATGACACCAGGTGCCTGGAGCCTTAGCACCAGGAAGTACCAAAGCTATCTACCTTGAATAGCTCCCATCAGCTCTAGACGGAAGAGTCCTTACTTCAGCCTGAAGCACACCACATCTCTCCAGCAGTGACCTGGAAGCTGGAACCATGAAGGAACTAGCTTGTTCTTCAGGGTTGAGCATAAATGGTCTTTACTTGGTAGCAATACAATTGGAAGAAGGGACTTTTACCAAAAGAGCTCAAGTGCTTGGAAAGCCTGAGGCCCAGAAGTTGTATAGGATACCTCCTGAGAGCCAGGCTATTAGGAGCTATATATCAGGCCTTCTTCTGTACCCTTTCCTGGGATTCTGCCTGGCCTGAGCTAACCACATTTCACATCTAACCAGTCACCTCCAACCAACAATATCCCAACTTACCACACAGATGAGGTAGATGCCCAGGAACACCTGGCCGGTGGACTGTAGAGAGCGACTACGAGGTTTCCGACGGTACAGTTCCCCAGCCCCACTAGCCAGCACCAGAAAGCCGCCAATGATGGCAACTGTGCGTGAGTACATTCGGACCTATGCCAGGACAAGGAGACCCAAGTCAGGAACTGCAGCGCCCACATTTCTCCTGGCTGCCCATCTCTATATATCCCATTCCAGCTGATGAACCCTCTTACCTATTCCAAGTGCGATGGACAGGTACAGCAGGAATAGATAATTCTTTTTTACAGAAGTAGAAACTGAGGCCCAGAGGGATTAAGAAAAATGTCCATGGTCCTACAGAAAGTAAGTGGCATAACCCAGACACCACACATTGCCCCTCCCCCACCCCTAAGTTTGAAGGCTAAGCCCCATGTTTGATCTATCCTTCCCTTCCTTCCTTCTCTTCTTTCTCGTAGTAGAATCTATTGCACTTAAAAACTCCATTGATCCCATAGTTGTTCACATATGTGCCTCCTCTACTGGATGGACAGTCCCCAGGTCTAACCTTATCTCCAAGCCTGCAGTGCCTGGCACAGGCTCTGGTATGTATTGTCTTAGTTACAGTTCATAAAATCAGATCTGTAGACCAGATAGTCTCCAAAATCCCTTCTGCCCTATCAATCTGGGATTATTACCAAAGTAATGGTTTAAAAGGACCCCGGGTTCTGGTTCTATGAGTGTGGTAACTGTGGGATGACTTTGGGAAAGTCTGTTCTAGATCTGACGCGCTCACCTTCAGCCAGTCCCCATAATGGACGTAGCCCCCGATGTAGGCCGCATAGGTGCTAATGGCCAGCTGGAGTGCGGCCCCCAGAGCAAACCAGCGCCGCTTCACTCCGAAGGACATGAAACTAGCACACAACACAGCTGCTCCCATGTCGAAGTACAAGTATGGCACCGGGATGTCTGGCTTCCTGCGGGCCGAGAGTGGGGAAGAAAGGTCTGAACGAAGCGACAAAGAGGAACCAGAGATCCCGGGAGTTTCCACAAGCTGTACTGTTCCCCCAAACTGCAGACCTCTCCGGTAGCTAAGACTGCAGCATCAGATCTGGCCGGATATCTCCTGGACCAGATCCCCTCCCAATTCCTCTCAGTCCCAGGGTCCCAATGTCTGAGTCCCAACTTGCCCACATCACCGCGCCCCAGCTCCGGACAGGCCGTACGCCCCCTGCCGCGCGGACTAAACAAGCAAGCTCACCGACGCGCCTCGGCCCTTTCAGCATACAGCATGAGCTGGCTGAAGCAACCCCAAAAGGGGCAGCGTGTGAGCAGCACCGAGCCCAACTGCATAATCAACTGCAGCATCCAGCGTCTCGAACCTATCTTCGAAGCCATCTTGGGAAAGGGCAGTGCGATGCGGCCTCACCCGGGTTTGGATGGCCAGCGTGGGTACGATAAAACATGAGCTTCCGGTCCTTTGACTGCTTCCTTCCCACTCCGCCGGGAAGCAATGTTCTCGCCCTTTAGTTCCGGATAGAAGGATGCGCTCCAGTTGCGGGAATTCAGCCTCGCCCTCTGCCTATGGAGACTTCGGGGCTTTTTTTTTTTTAACCTTCAGAATTGAAAACTATAGCAAGCAAATGGAGTCAGATCAGAAGTCCTGGATCACAGTTGGATATATGGGCGCAAACTAGTCTGGATACAACCAGATTTGGACTCTAAACTCAACTCTTAACAGGAGATTTGAGCAACTTTACCTCAGCTGAGACCCATCTGTGAAATGGGGATGGGCTGGGAAGGTGGCTCAGTGGTAGAGCGCTTGCCTTGCATGCCTGAGGCCCAGGGTTCGATTCCTCAGCACCACATAAGCAAAAAAGAAAAAAAGCCTGAAGTGGTGCTGTGGCTCAAGTGGTAGAGCGCTAGCCTTGAGCTGAAGAGCTGAGGGACAGCGCCCAGGCCCAGAGTTCAGGCCCCACAACCGGACCCCCCCCCCCAAAAAAAAAGAAAAGAAAAAAAGAAATGGGGATGACAGAAAGATCTGAGCTCTAAGAATCGGAGTTTGATGCCAGCCTAGGGAGAAGTCTATGGGATCCTCATCTCAAATTAACCAGAAAAAAAAAAAAAATGGTAGAACACTATCTTTGAGCAAAAAAAGCTAAGGGACAGTACCTAGGCCCTGAGTTCAAGCCCAGTACCAGCATACACACATGCAAAAAGGTACTGCCATTATGTCTAGTCTATAGTAGATGGTTAGTATAAATTTGCTAATAAAAGGATGTTTCCACCACAAATCTGCCTTATCTTTAGAACATACACACACTATACACAATCTTTAATACATGAATTCACTCTCCAATATTGAGGTAAGATCTTGTCAGGACTCTCCTGCTGCAGCAAATGATCTAAGTCAGGTCTGCTTCGAATCTGCAAAGGTTTCAAGTCCATGGCTTCTCTTTTCTTTTTGGTAGGTCATGGGGTTTGAACTCTGGGCCTGGGCACTGTCCCTGAGCTCTGAAGAGCTCAAGGAAAGCACTCTACCAGTTGAGTCACAGAGCCACTTCTGGTTTCCTAGTGGTTAATTGGAGATAAGTCTTACAGACTTCCCTGCCTGGGCTGGCTTTGAACCGTGATCCTCATGTTTCAGCCTCCTGGGTAGTTAGGATTACAGATGTGAGCCACCGGCACCTGGCTCCAAAAAGCTTTTCTGACCCTGTGAATTAAAAAAAAAAAATCTGGGCTGGGAATATGGCTTAGTGGTAGAGTGCTTTCCTAGCATGCATAAAGCCCCAGGTTCAATTTCTCAGTACCACATAAACAGAAAAAGCCAGAAGTGGCACTGTGACTCAAGTGGTAGAGTGCTAGCCTTGAGCAGCAGCAGCTCAAGGACAGTGTCTAGGTCCTGAGTTCAAGCCCCAGAACTGGCAAAAACAAAAAACAAAAAAAAAAAACTCTCAGTTTGCCAGTGAGTCAGACAATAAAACTCCATTTCATTTGTGCAATTGAAATAAAGTTGTGATATATACACACACACACACACAAAAACTCCTTTTCACATTTTATTTTTTTTTTGTCAGAAAAAGCCTAAGTGCTGTGGCTCAAGTGATAGTATACTAGCCTTAGCAAAAGAGCTAAGGGACATTCCCCAGGCCCTGAGTTCAAGCCCCAATACTGGCAAAATACAAAAACAAAAAAACTAGGGGATGAGACTGTGTATGTATATGAGGGTGAGATCTCTATTCAAGATGAGAAAAAGCCCAAATTAAAGGTAATTTTTTATTATCCCCACTGTTCAGTGACAGCCACATGAATTAAATTTTCTTCACCATAATAAAGGCACATACCACAGAACTGTTTTTCAATTGGTTTATTTTTCCAGTCTCTTTACCCATCTCTGACTCAAATGAGATAGATGAACAGCCCTAAGGTGTTCAGGACCAAAACTGAAATTATGGGGCTGGGAATGTGGCTTAGTGGTAGAGTGCTTGCCTAGCGTGCATGAAGTCCTGGGTTACATTCCTCAGTACCACATAACAGAAAAAGGCAGAAGTGGCACTGTGGCTCAAGTGGTAGAGTGGGGCTGGGAAGGTGGCTCAGTGGTAAAGTGCTTGCCTTGCATGCATGAGGCCCTAGGTTCAATTCCTCAGTACCACATAAGTAGAAAAAGCCGGAAGTGGTGCCGTGGCTCAAGTGGTAGAGCAATAGCCTTGAGCTGAAGAGATAAGGGACAGCGCCCAGGTCCAGAGTTCAGGCCCCACAACCCACAAAAAAAGAAAAAGAAAAGAAAAGAAAGTGGTAGAGTTCTAGCCTTGGGCAAAAGCAGCTCAGGGACAGAGCCCAGGCCCTGAGTTCAAGCCCTAGGGCTGGCAAACACACACACACACACACACACACACACACACACACACACACACACACACACGGAAAGCCCTAGGGCTGGCACACACACACACACACACACACACACACACACACACACACACACACACACACACACACACACACACACACACACACACACACACACACACACACACGGAAAAACCAAAACACCTGGAACTATGTTTCTTAAAATAGTCCTAAGACACCCAGCTGGTCTGCTTTCCCTCCCGTATTTCCTAAGCAATCAACCCACTCACTTGACAGGGTAGCTGGCTATATCCTAAATGCTTGAGCACTTCCAAGTGTACTCAACAGTCCTACCACTGGTCCCTTGTCTATTTACTGAACCTCTAGACCAAACTTCATTTTTATTTTTGTCCGTCATGGGGCTTGAACTCTGGGCTTGGGTGCTGTCCCTCAGCTCTTCAGCTCAAGGCTAGTGCTCTACCACTTGAGCCACAGTACCACTTCCGGTTTTCTGGTGGTTAGAGATAGTCTCTGGGATGTTCCTAAGTGAGCTGGCTTTGAACCACGATCTTCAGATCTCAGCCTCCTGAGTAGTTAGGATTACAGGTGTGAGCCACGGGCACCCAGCTTTAGATAGAACTTATTACCCCACAACAATCTGGCCTCAACATCTCAGGTTCCACGTCTGGAGACTCAATCAATTACAGATCAAAAATATTTAGGGGGGGAAAAAAAACAAACATGTCTGGCTGGGTGTAGGTGACTCACACCTGTAATGCTAGATACTCAGCAGGCTGAGATCTGAGGATTGTGGTTCAAAGTCAGCCCGGGCAAGAAACTCTGTGAGACTCTTATTTCCAATTAACCACTCAGAAAAACAGAAGTGGCACTGTGGCTCAAATGGTATCACTCCAGCCTTGAACTGAAGAACTGAGGGACAGTACCCAGGCCCAGAGTTCAAGCCCCATGACCACAAAAAAAAAGTCTGCATAACAACTATTTACATAGACATTACAATGATAGGTATTACAGGATGAATTTCCTTTATCTGAATTGCTTCGAACCAGATATGTAAGATTAAAGATTTTATCAGACTGTAGAAAATTTCATATACATATCTTGGGGACAGGTCACAGCCAATCATGACATTCATTTACTATTTCACACATATCTCACACACATGGCCTAAAGGTAATTTTGTACACTTTTTGTGCACCTGTTTTGACTGCTACCAATCATATGAGATCATATGAGATCAGGTGTGAAACTGTGTGTGTCTTTACATGGGATCACAGTTACAGACTTTGGTGTGTAAGATTTCAGAAATAGTCAATCTAAGCTGGGTGCTGATGGCCCACACATGTAATCCTATACAGGAGGCTGAGATCTGTGGATCGTAGTTCAAAGCCTGCCTGGACAGGAAAGTCTGTGGGACTCTTTTTGTTGTTGCTGTTGGTTGCAGGTCTTGAACTTTAGGCATAGGCACTGTCCCTTATCTCTTCAGCTCAAGGCAAGTGCTCTACCACTTAAGCCAGAGCCCCACTTCCGGTTTTAATTGAAGGTAAGAGTCTCATGGACTTTCCTGCCCTGGCTGGCCTTGAATAATGCAATTCTCAGCCTTTTGAGTAGTTATGATTATGACTTGAGCCACCAGTGCCCAGCTAAGTCTGTGGGATTTATATTATTTTATTTTTTGGTCATGGGGCCTGAATTCTGGGCCTGGGTGCTGTCCCTCAGCTCTTCAGCTCAAGGTTAGCACACTACCACTTGAGCCCCAGTGCCACTTCCAGATTTTTCTGCTTAGGTGGTGCTGAGGAATTGAACCCAGGACCTCATGCATGCAAGGCAAGCACTCTACCACTGAGCCACCTTCCTAGCCCCAAGTCTGTGGGATTCTTATCTCCAATTAACCACCAGAATACCAGATGTGGGGCTGTGTGTGCTCAAAGTGGAACAGCATAGCACTAGTCCTGAGCAAAAAAGTTTAGGGACAGCACCCAGGCCCTGAATTCAAACCTCATGACCGAAACAAAACAAAACATTAAATGTTCAATCTGTTAAGTAATATAGAGATGATCCATATATGAGAAGCTGGGCAACCATGACTTATGTCTGTAATCCTAGCTATTAAGGAAGCTGAGATCTGAGGATCATGGTTTGAAGCCAGCCTGGGCAGAAGTCAGTGATACTCTTCTCTCCAACTAGTTAACAACAACAATAACAAAACACCAGAACTGGATCTGTGACTAAGTGGTAGAGAAGCTACTGAGATCAGAAGACTGAGGTTCAAAGCTCGCCCAAGCAAATTCATGAGACTCTTATTCCCAATGAATGGGAGCAATGCTGGAACTGTAGCTGTAGTGGATGCTAGGCAAGAAGTCAGTAGAAATATGCCTTAGCTTTGCTCTACACTGCCAGTACAAAAAGCAAGTTAGTTCCACTTCAGACTTCAACAAATTTTAAAAAGGCAAGAAGAAATTTTAACCCCTCTGTATTTTCACAATAAAAAAATAGGCAAGAGTGAAGGGTAAACAAAGGAGGAGGCTGCAATGCTTGGTAAGAAATGTATGCATTATCCTGCCCATGTAATTGTAACCCC